CTTATCCGTGGGGCTTCTGCGAGCAGTTTGCAAACGCGCTGTTGTTTTGGTATGGTGCGCCTGAGGAATGTTGGCTTGACCAGAGCCTACAGGCAAAATCTTGCTGAGGCAGCATCGTCGTTGGAGCGGAGGGTTCGTCGAGGGGGGCACATTCTTTCGAGGTCCACTCCATCCCCGCAAGCAGATAGATGGCTAGAGAGGGCTGTTGAAGAAGCTCACTGCGAGGGAGAACGGCTGTATTGGGTGACTCTCGGGCTGTTGGGTGTACAAAGGTCACTACATCTTTCAGGGTCATGTTTACGGGGAGCTTGGCGAGCTGTTCAAGGATGGCGCTCTTTGAGGCCAGTGCGGTCGCGTGTGCCTATAACCCTATGGTCGCTTGAAGGGGCCGTGTTAGCGTGGCTGTGGTTGGGGTGGCGAGAAGAGGGTTGGATGCGCCGGCAATACTGGACCTGCGCAATGGCTTCTTGGTTAGCTTTTTGGTGCCTCCTGCGGCCATCTGAGATTCTCAACCTACGTGTTTCGGACCTTTCTTTTCCCCAGGGCGGTGAAGCGTTGCGAGACCCAGGGATAGTGGTGATGGTGCGGTCCCCTAAGACGCGCCGTATCTGGCACAGACAGTTTGTGTTGTGCAGTGAGCCGCGAGTGTGTAGGTGGTTGCGCTGGTGGGTGGCCGACAAGAAGCACACTAGCAAGATTTTTCCTGGCACACGCTACTTGTGGGACAAGCATTTCAAAGAGGGTTTGCGGTTTCTTGAGTTGGAAGCTTGCTCATACACACTGGGGAGTATGCGTGCTGGGGGTGCCACTCATCATTTTCGCGTGCACAGCAACCTGAGCGTTTTGCAATTTCACGGTCGGTGGTCTTCAGCAAGTACGTTGCAGTTCTACCTCCAAGAAGCTTTTTCGACACACATAACCTCACAGCTGAAACCTAGCACTTTGGAGAAGTTGACCATGTTGCACAATTTTGACCACATGCTCAACACCCCGCCTCAGTTCAGTCTCAAAAGTTTGTTGGGGGTCGGAGCACATGCTTGGTAAAGTTGTTGCAGATGGGCAGGTCCCACTCTAGCCAGGGGGGAACGCTCTCAAGTCCAAGCGCCGCGGCGGCGCACAGAGCGGAAGCGAAGCTCATCTCCAAAGCATAGCCAGCAAAGGGGCAGGCAAGCAAATCGAGGTGATCTTCCACCCCCCTCGTTAGAGGACCCTGGTAGCTCAGCTGGAAGTGTTTTGGCGCGGCGAGGTCAAGTGTTGCGCGCAGTGGAACTCGCTTCAAACGAACTGACCCCAGAAGAGTTGGCAGCTTTAGACGACCCTGGGTTTAGACAGCAGGCTGCAAGATGGCGTTCTGGCAGTGGCTCACGGCGGGTCTCGGCGGCCTTCGCCCGCCTGTTGACATCTCTGTATACTATTTTCCCTGGCTGGACCACGGCTGATGGGTTGGCACAGTCGGCAGCCCCGCCCATAGTCGAGGCCTTGCCCTTTGACCAGAGTTCTCAGCCTTCGTTGCGGGTGTGGTGGCTTCGCTTCAGCATGGGCTGGCAGAGCTCCCTGAGATGGATGGTTAGTTATCGGAGGACTCTGTGGGCACTTTTGCTGTTGCTCTTATTTCCGCGTGTGGTGGCCGCTCTCATCGCTACTGTGGTGCGCCTCTTCATCCGGTTGATGCTCGCAATTACCACTCGACTCCTTCGTGATCTATGGCTCGAGCTTGGTGGTGTGGTGAACCAGCTGTCTTCCGTGTCTCAGGGAGTGGAGACCGCTTTGATGTCCCAACTGGAGCAAATCTTGGTAGATTGGTGGCCTCCGGCCACTTCTCAACCCTCCCTCCAACCGGCTGACCCTCCTGCCGGGACGCCTGCCGGCGCCTCCGTGCCGCTTGGGGGGGGGGCTGGCCCCCCCCGCCCAGTCCCCTCTTCACCAACCTCTTGCTGGCGGCCAACCTTTTCTTCCAAGTGCGTGCCCACCGCCGGGGTGGGGTGGCATAGCATAGCAAGGTTTCACTTTGAGCATGCGGAGCGCTTCTT